TTGACAGGAATGTGTCCTTTTAGCATATAAGGTCGGGGTACATGTTATCAGTATGAGTTGTTATGGGTACTGCTAACTTTTATCACATGGTTAAGGTAGTGTTGGCCAGGTTTCTCCACTGTAGTTATTCATGTTATCTTTGTAATTAGCAAATACATTGTTGGAGGAATACTTTGAGGCAAGACAGATATTTTTTCATTAACTTTAAAAAAATAATAAACTTGAAAAGCATGGAGAGGGAGAGGAGAAGAGGGGAGAGAGAAAAAAGAGAGAGAGAGAGAATGAGAGTCCATCTGCTGACTCACTCTCCAGTTGCCCACAGCATCTGGGACTGAGCCAGACTGAAGCCAGGATCCCAGACTTCAATCTGGGTCTCTATGTGGGTGCAGGGGCCCAAGTACTAGAACTTGAACAAGCACCTGCTGCCTGTAAGGGTATGTGCTAGCAGGAACCTGGAATTGGAAGTAGAGCCCTGTATCAGGATTGCAAGTCTTGACCTCTCTGGAGTGGTCCAAAGTTTCCTATATTTCCATGATCGCAATCTTTACATCTTCAGATCATATGTGTGACTCATGCACTCCTGGGATTTAAACAAGGGCATACTGAATTTTTTAATCTTCCCAGAAGAATGTGCAAATGTGATTAGAATATCTCAGTTCTTCAGAACTCTGAACTTGAAGAAATCTGGGTCTCCTAACAATCACAATGATCTCTTAGTGACTTTCAAATCTTTGAACTGGAAAATATATAAGGGGACAGGGCATACAGAGCTACATCAACAGCCCATGGTGACTGGGGTGGGTGTGAGTTGACCCTTGCATCAGAGGCAGGGAACTTTCTCAGGGGCATCTCATAACCCATGACTGAGCTGATTTTTACCTGGAACATGTCTGTGTCTTTGAGATCTGGTTCTGCCTTTTGGGCAAAACTCAAGAAGCATTACATTTGTGTTCCCAATGAGATGTATAGGTCATTTCTAAGATTACCAGCCTTAGAAGGATGGATCATATTCTGGGCCACAGGATAAGCCTCAATACCTTGAAAAGGATTGAAATTCTTATCAACTATGATATTTGACCTCAAAGAAATCCAATGAGAAATCAACAGCAGAAGGATATCTGGAAAAATCACAAAGTATCTAGCAATATTAAACAATACACTTTTTACTTCTGCCTCCAGTAATGATAGATTCCCCCACTGAAAATAACCATATAACAGTGAACATAATATCAAAGCAACTACCTGCATACCTTAAGTCAGCAGAGGTAGTCAGGTCTGGATGACAATCTCTCAGAGTATGGCGCTGTATAAAATGTTTCCAAGATGAGTGGAGGAGGAAGAATGATCCAAGTAATAGAATAAAGTTGATTTTGTCTTTGACAGATATTATGTACCTGCTGGGTACCAGGTGCTGTTGGTTGGTGGGTGATGGTTTAGAAAAGGAAGGGGGAAGTTTAGAGAGGTTTCAGAAGTAAGATATTATAATTCAGAAATGAATTGACTGGAGCTAAAACTAGAGGTTTCAGTATTGGAAAGAAGTAAATGATAACTTTTAGCAATGATGTGGAAAAAGGAAGAGAAAATTTTTGAGCCGTATATTTCAGAAAAGGGGATAAATGAGGATAGTGCAAATTTTTATACCTCAGAAAGTGGTAGTATTGTTTCCTAATATAAAGTGGTGGGAAGCTACTGAAGCACAGTTTTTACCTGATCAATAAGTAAAAAAAAAAATGCACACATTTCCAATAGGCTATTCTTGATTAATACCTCCATATAGAATGTAGAATTTATTGCCCACTCATCCCTTATGAATTTTCCAGTACTCTATCATTTGTTATTATGTGGCTTTCTATATTCATGTCACTTTACAAAAAGATTTATTTAACTATTTGAAAGACAGAGTTACAGAGAGACAGAAGGAGAGACAGAGACAGATCTTCCATCCACTGGTTCACTCCCCAAATGGCTGCAACAGACGAGACTAGGCCAGGCCAAAGCCAGGAGCCAGGAGTTTCATTTGGGTCTCCCATGTGGGTGCAGGGGCTCAGAGACTTGGGCCATCTTTTACTGCTTTCCCAGGCACATTAGCAAGCAGCCGGAACAGAAATGGAGCAACCAGTAATAAACCAGCATCCATATGGGATGCCAGTGTAGCAAATGGCCGCTTAATTTGCTACGCCACAATGCCAGCCCCTATTCATGTCATTTTATCTTGAGATTTTTTAGTCTCTTCCTAGTTGGCATGGTCTAGTGTATTGTGTCTTCAACACATTCAAGGCCCAACTTTTAGCCCTGCAGTTGAAAGAACACTTGTAATGTGAGTATTGAATGAAGATTGGGACCATTTGTTAGTTTATATCTTTTTTTTTTTTTTTTTTTTGACAGAGTGGACAGTGAGAGAGAGGAGACAGAGAGAAATGTATTCCTTTACCTTTGGTTCACCCTCCAATGGCCGCTGCGGCCGGCGCGCTGCAGCCGGCGCACCACAGCCGGAGCACCACGCTGATCCAAAGCCAGGAGCCAGGTGCTTCTCGTGGTCTCCCATGCGGGTGCAGGGCCCAAGGACTTGGGCCATCCTTCACTGCCTTCCCAGGCCACAGCAGAGAGCTGGCCTGGAAGAGGGGCAACTGAGATAGAACCTGGTGTGCCAGCGCCGCAGGCAGAGGATTACCCTATTGAGCCACCCGCTGGCCTGTTAGTTCATATCTTTAAAAATCATCAGTGAGGGCCTGGCAGTGTGGCATAGTAGGTTAAGCCTCTGCCTGCCGGGTAGACATCCCATCTAGGAACAGGTTCAGGTCCTGGCTGCTCCACTTCAAATCTAGCTCCTTGCCAATGCACCTAGGAGGGTAGCAGAGGATGGCTCAAGTGCTTGGGACGCTGTCATTCACGTGGGAGAACTAGAGGAGCTTCCTGGCTCCTGGCTTCAGACCAGCCCAGCCCCGGCCACTGCAGCCATTTAGAGAGTGAACCAGCAGATGAAAGATTTTCATTCTCTCTCTCCACCCCCCTTTCCACCCTCCCTCTCCTTCTCTCTCTGCCTTTTAAATAAATAGATAAATAAATCTTTTAAAAATGTTTAAAAAGTATCAGTGAGACTCTAAGCTGTTTAATTATTTTAAAACCTGATACTTTTATTTAGTAATAGTTTTACAAGTCTAATTAAAAACTAATCTCTTGAAATGTCACCAAAATAAAATCTTTGACAGTTGCAACACAACTAGGTATATCATTAAATATATTCTACACAGAATAAAGCCTAGAATGAACATTGGATTAAAAGCTCATACAGACAGTAAATTTGGAGCTAGTTACATTTTAAATTTGCAATTGGTTTGTTTTGTTGAAGTCCAGAAGATGAAGACAATTGAACCATTGATGTCAGTTAGCCTTGTTGTTCTATAGAAGAGGCTAGAATGGCAGAATTTTTGTTAGGAGAGCTTTAAAATACAAACTTAAGCGTCTAGTTTTTGCCATAAAGATATTTTTACCATCTTACAGACTTATGAGGACTATCGATAAAGATTTGTTGAAAGTAAACTTTTCGGTTCTCCCTTATTTCTTTACAAGGTGAAAAAAATTTTAAAAATGTATTTGAAAGGCAGAGAGACACAGAGATTTTTCCATCCACTTATCCATTTCCCAAATGCTCCCAACAGCTGGGGCTGGGCCAGGCTGTAGTCAGGAGCTTGCAGTTCAATCCAAGTCTGCCACATGAGTGGCAGGGACCCAACCATTGAAGGTACAAGTTGTGCATTGTTAGGACACTGGAATCACAGTGGGGCTAAGACTCGAACCTGGACACTCCTGTGTTGGATGTGGACATCACAGATGGTGTCTTTAACTGCTGTGCTGAACATCCACCCAAAGATGAAAATTTTGTGTTGAAATGACAGTGGGTCCTATCATGAATAGGTCTCAATAGCTGTTTTCAAGCTTATTTTTATCACATGGTCAGAGATGCTAAATCATTGTAATAGATTCATGCCTCCTGCCATAAAGTATGTAGCAATTACATTTTTAATAGCTTGCTGTGTAAACAAGGTTTTTTTTTCTGCCTCAAAGGTTTTATAGAAAGCACTCTTTAGAGCAATATCCATTCTTGCTCACTAGAGAACTCAGGCCCAAGGTGGCACTACTGTTGGCTGATCACTGCTGAGGTCACCTCCTAGTTTGAGTGGATATGGTTTATTTTCAAGAGTCAGTTAGAAAATTGACTTTTCCTGGCCGGTGCTGCGGCTCACTAGGCTAATCCTCCGCCTGTGGCGCCGGCACCCCAGGTTCCAGTTCTGGTTGGGGCGCCGGATTCTGTCCCGGTTGTTCCTCTTCCAGTCTAGCTCTCTGCTGTGGCCCAGGAGTGCAGAGGAGGATGGCCCATGTCCTTGGGCCCTGCACCCGCATGGGAGACCAGGAGGAAGCACCTGGCTCCTGGCTTCGGATCGGTGCGCTGGCTGCAGCACGCTGGCCGTAGTGGCCACTTGTGGGGTGAACCAACGGAAAAAGGAAGACCTTTCTCTCTATCTCTCTCTCTCTCTCACTGTCTAACTCTGCCTGTCAAAAAAAAAAAAATGACTTTTCCTTTGTGATTCGCTCAAGTCTATTTTGAAAAATGAAACTGGTCTGTTGGAAGTTTGGTATGCAAACCTTGTCCATTTCTGTGTACCACTTTCTCACGTGGGAGCGCCTCAGGAAGCTTGGAGCATCTGACCCAGTGCACTGGGTTGTGGGCAGGAGAGCACCATTTAAGCACCGAATATTCTCTGGGACCTGGAAGGTGTGAGCTAGTCCTTTGGAGGCTCCAGTTCTTCCCCCAGCAGTTTAAATCTCGTGTGACCCTTGCAGACTTTTGCGAAGTATTCACAGATTAAATAACAAGGGGCATATCTGAGAGCAGCCCTGTACGGTTCTCTGTGTACTGTCCGTCTGCCTGGCAACACGTGGCTTCCTGGTGTTCTTGACCTCTGATGGTTGTTTCTCTCCTCCCTGCTTCCTCTCTGCAGACATGCCTTGAGTTGGAACGCTACCTGCAGACGGAGCCCAGGAGGATCTCAGAGACCTTTGGTGAGGACTTGGACTGCTTCCTCCGTGCTTCTCCTCCGCCGTGCATTGAGGAAAGCTTCCGGCGCTTAGACCCCCTGCTGCTCCCTGTGGAAGCGGCCATCTGCGAGAAGAGCTCAGCAGTGGACATTTTGCTCTCTCGGGACAAGTTGCTATCTGAGACCTGCCTCAGCCTCCAGCCAACCAGCTCTTCTCTAGACAGCTACGCAGCCGTCAACCAGGCCCAGCTCAACGCAGTGACCTCATTAACGCCCCCATCCTCCCCTGAGCTCAGCCGCCATCTGGTCAAAACCTCACAGACCCTCTCAGCCGTGGATGGCACGGTGACGTTGAAACTGGTGGCCAAGAAGGCTGCGCTCAGCTCAGTCAAGGTGGGAGGGGTGGCGACAGCAGCAGCAGCCGTGGCGGCAGCTGGGGCAGTTAAGAGTGGACAGAGCGACAGTGAACAAGGAGGGGTAGGGGCTGAAGCATGCCCCGAAAACAAGAAGAGGGTTCACCGCTGTCAGTTTAACGGGTGCCGGAAAGTTTATACAAAAAGCTCCCACTTAAAGGCCCACCAGAGGACTCACACAGGTAGTGGTACAAGTTGGCTGCACGTGGTTTCTTCTTTTTCCTCCTTTTGCCTCGTGGTGGGAAGGGCTCCCTTGCGTCCTGAGAAGTGCCTTTATACTGAGGAGCTGGTGACAGGCAGGCAGGAAGGCCGGGCTGGGGAAGCGGAATGATTCACTTCATACCTTGAGATCTCAAGATGTCCTGAGCACGGGACGTGGGTTTGTCACTTGCTGTCTGTGAACTGCTTTCAGAGGCGATGCCAGCCACAGCACGGAATCTAACAGTGCTGAGCATGACCAGAGGGGGCCCCCGTAGGGTGACTCAAAGCTGTGCATGTCCCTTTCCTGACACAGCTCATTGTTGCATGTGTCTCTAGGGAGTTTTCATCAACCCTGGGATCTGAGGAGGCACATTTGAAAGCATTTACAGGTAAACAAGGTAGCCGGGGTTTCCCCATCCCCTGTTTTCCCAGTATCCCTGAGTTTTCATGAAAGCCACCACCAGCAGGAGGGTTTCGGAGTTCATTAGATGTGATCATTCTATAATTAATTGGCAGCTCCTCTTTTGCATTGTTCTCTGGCGCGTGCTTTATGGAGAGATGGCAGAATTGCTTTTTAATGAGCTTGTTACTGAGAAGTTGCTAAAGCGATTACATTGCTATGTGTGTGGTAAGGGCAGTGAGGGAGGAACGGGGACTGCATATTTCACTCAGGACTTCCCTGGTGATGCCAGGGAATCATGCTGATCTTTTGAGCAGTGCAATAATTTGGAAAACTGGGGTTTAAACAGAAACGAGTGAGACTAGTGTTTTCCTGAAGACTGGGCTTCATGTTCTGCCTTGAGATTGGAGCTTAGGGCTGGTGCCGCTTCTTGGTCTACTGGCATGGTAGTAGCTATTACTGTGATTGGTGGTATTTAAATGAGTCTCTAACAGTGTATTCCCTGTATGGTTTTTGTATACTTCTTACATGCTGCAAGTTGAATAGGGAATATCCCAAAAGGTATAAGTGGCATGCGATGCAAGAGTTTTCTTGGAGACATGGGTGTTAACATATGAGCTAGAAGCCTATGGTGTTCTGGCAGTTCTCAGACTATGCCGCAAAGGAAGTCAGCAGTGGAAAATCAGAACAACTGGGTTCTGGTTCTGACTCTGTCACTAACCAGCTCTGTGACCTAGAGCATGTCCTAATTCCTCACTGAGCCTCATTTTCCACATATGTCAAACAACCTGGCTCTTAAGGCCTGTTTCAGCTCTAATGTTCTGGAGTTCCTAAAATGTCTTCTTCCAGGACAGCCAGACCTTTCCTGAAATAAGAATGTGTAATACAGAGGTTTAGGAATCCCTGCTTTGAGTCTCAGAGTTATGCACGGGGGAGAATGAGAACTGTCAGTTGCCTACTTGGCATGAGGCTCAGGCATGGACCCTCTCATTCTAAACTTAATTTCCCAGGTGGCTCTTGCTGCTTGGCTCATGGTGTAGTCTCCTAACACAATTTGTGAATCCTCCTGATCAAAGGTCAAGTCCCACTTTGTGTTTCCCATCAGATTTTGCATTCAAGTTTTCTACTTCACATACACCAAGAGTAATGCTTCCTGGTTTTGCCAGATTTTCCCTCTCTGATAGTATTCTGAAGCTAGTTTGAATTTATATTCTTGTCTTCCTGAAGTCAGAGAGTAACCACAAAACTTAGCCGTGTCCTCTGGCTTCCAAGCATGATTCCCCGCCACCTGCCCCCAGGAAACCAGAGAAACAAGGAAGAGGCAGGAATAAAATTGAGATCTGCTGCAGCTCTGGCATTTCTGCCTGTGCCCACCTTTCTGGATTGCACTGACAGGCTACATCCTTGCCTAGCATGGAGGCTGGACCTCTCTGGGGAAGCTGGTCTTTTTGGGGGAGCCCAGAGCATTTTTTCTTCTTTCTAAACCTTCTTCTCAACAGAGATATCAGAAGGGCAGCTGCTAGATGAGTACGTTATTTGGTGCTTTGTTTCCTGTGCATTGCCAGTGAGGGTGGGGCTCATTATGTGACCCGGCACCTGAAGCCCCTTGACTTATGTGAGCTGAGGTGGAAATAACTCCTCCCCATAGGGAACTGGATTATGATTAGGAGGGCTGTATTGCAGAGCCATTAAGAACAGGGTGTGCTTGTCAAGTACACCTGGGTTTGGTCTTGACTACTGCTTCCTAGATTTATGACCTGAATAAGTGATTTGCTTTCCGTAAGTCTCAGCTTCCTCAACTGTAAAATAGAGATCTTTGTATTTACCTTATAAGGTTTTTGGAAGATTAAATATGCAAATCCTTGTAAAATACTCGGCAGGTAGTAAGAGCTCATTAAAGACAGTGGCAGAGTTTGACTGTAGTTATTACTGCTGTTGCTGGTATGGATTAGTAACGATTGTTGAGAAAAACTGCTTTATGTAAAGCAGACAGAAGCCAGTTAACCAAAGTTAAATACCATCCAAAAGCAAGGAAGTTTTCTTTTTCATTCCTAATGCTTGACCAGGGCAGTGTGTGTTGGGGTGGGGGATGATGCCGTGGACACCAGTTGTGAAGGGGAGACTGAGTCTGTGACATTGGCCGTAGTGTAAAGTAGCACGGCTTCCCTAAGACAATGCAGGAAGCAGTTGCCTTGCAGCCCACAGAAGCATCTTGCCTGTAAAACCTTCCTCGGAGACAAGCATAAGTGGAAAAGTAGGTGCTGGAAGAAAGGGAAACACACAAGAGGGGAGATCAGATAGGGATGGAGGATGAGGGGAGAGAATGTGCATTCATTTGGATTAAATGGATGAGAATCAGAAGTATTTATTTGGAATTGGTGTGAATGGGGCACATGGGGAACTGAAAACAAGGGTGATAATTTATGTGGTGTAGATGAACTAAGAGCAATGAGAAAAGCATGAAGGATGGCACCAAATTAAATGCAAACATAGCTGGAAATGGACTGGTAAAAGCTTCTGGGCAAAGGTATATGACAATAGGAATTCAGGTTGGAAAGGTTTTGCTGATACAGGAGTGGGGTGGGGAGAGCTGCGGATCAAATGTTGCAAGGAAGTTTTCAGAAACTGGCTCTGTTTGGATTCATGAAAGCTATTTTAACACAGGACTCACTTGAATTCAGTGGAAATATTTTTGTGTTTTCCAGTTGGGGAGGTATTTTGAGAATGAAAAATTTGAAAAAAAAAAAAAAAAGAAATCCATCCCAGAGAAAGAGGGGGAAATATTGGCGTTTTGTTCTCTGGAGTTTTGTGTGTATATATATATATATACACACACACACACTTTATCCTTTTGTATGGTAATATGTTGCAAAGGAGACACATTTACAAACATACAATAAAATAAAATGTGTGAGTCTCCATCTTCCATGCATAAAGGAAGACAGTACACTGTCCAGAACATGGATTTGCTTGCATTGAGAAACTTTCAAAGTGTTATTCATGTGATCTTAAACAGATAGATTTACTAAGCTGGAAAAGATACGCATTCCTCACCCTGCCCCTGCCTTCTGTGTCTTCTTTTTGAGGATGCTGAATCCTTCAGACTATTTGCCCTAGAGGATGTTAGGCAATGAGGTGATTTTTTTTTTTTTTTATTAAGATAGCAGATGTTCAAGTTGGTAGTTAGGGCACAAATGCTGGTTGCCTAAGGAGGTGAAGGTAGGAATAAGATAGTTAGCCTGGAGATGGAAGAAGATAGGCAGGGGTGAGACCAAGAGAATGTTGTGAATCTTCGGATCCTGGTGCAAGAAAGCATATAGAAATGGACATGTGGTTTATTTATTGGGAAGAGCACTTAGCACTACATGAGCATAAGATTGTCCTTTAGCAGCCAAACCATTACAGACCTTTCTCTCCCACTCTGTTTTCTCCCTTTTTTTGGTAGAATATCTTTTTCAGAAATTCAACCATCATGATGATAGTCTTATTCGTCTTCTCTGAGTCAGCTAAATAATCCTTATATTTTGATGCAAGGAGAACCTCCACTTTCAATGTTAAAAAACTCCTTTTATGTTCATTTTCAGTGAAAATCAATCTTTTTAAAGATTTATTTATTTATTTATTTATTTGAAAGGCAGAGTTACAGAGAGGCAGAGGCAGAGATGGAGAGAGGTCTTCTATACACTGGTTCACTCCCCTAATGGCCACAATGGCTGGAGCTGTACTGATCCAAAGCCAGGAGCTTCTTCCAGGTTTCCCATGTGGATGCAGGGACCCAAGGAATTGGGCCATCTTCTACTGCTTTCCCAGGCCATAACAGACAGCTGTATTGGAAGTGGAGCAGCCAGGACTCAAACAGGCACCCATATGGGATGCTGGTACTGCAGGCAGTAGTGTTACCCCCTGCGCCACAGTGCTGGCCCCGAAAACCATTTATTAAAATGTTAGCAGTTTCTATGTAAATGAGAAAGACTTGTTTTACCCATTTCTTCTTGATTACTTCTGAGAAGAAAGAAAAACTTGTAATTGAAATGGTACTTTGTCTTAAGAAAACAGACTTTTCTCTGTTTCTTAGTGTCTAAAAAATTTTATTTGAAAGACAGAGACGGAGAGAGACACACGGAGAGAAATCCAATTGGCTGGTTCACTCTCTAAATGGTCACAATGGCCAGGAGTGGGCTGGGTTGGAGCGGGGAGCTGGGAAGTCATTCCAGGTCCTTCATGTGGGTGGCAGAGACAGAACTACATGGGTCATCACCTGCTGTCTCCCAGGGTGTGTGTTTTCAGGAAGCTGGAAATGGGAGCCAGAGTCAGGACTCCAAACCTAGCATCTTAACTGCTAGGCCAAATGTCTGCCACCCTGAGAAGACTTTCCAATTTGAAAATTCATAGAAAAGCGTATCTGCATTATATTATTAAGAGTGAGTCATGCTGACAAAGTCAGGACAGAGGTCAACAACTAAATCTTTGGTTCTTGGTCACCTGGAGGGAGGTAGGAAGAAGCTGTGTTTTCTCGTGTGCTATTTGGAGGGTGTTCCCCATGGACTGGTGTCGCTACAGCCTACTGCTAAGACTATTCTAGGT